ACTTTGTTTCACTGGTGCTGAACCTGACGTCATAAATGTGATTCTCTCTTCATTACATTTAAATCGATTGAGACAAAAAATTACGTCATTAACGTAAGTCGTGACAAATAAACCAATTATTGATCTGTCAATAATATCAATCCGTCAAACGATTTTCGTTATAGACAGATTTCCAGTGTTAAATGCCTTTTGATTAGGTAGTTTGTGTTAAAAGTGAAGTAAATATCATCAAAGTTGAAAACGCTTAGGCAAGTCCACAGTGCAGCAACGCCGTTAACAGACAAGTAAAATTTTACATAAACGTTCGATTCGCTCATATCATGAATTTAGGTCATTACCGTTACAATTAGGTAAATATGACGAACCGATACACAGAAGGTGAGCAAAGTTTGATTTTGAAGTTGATTCAGTACTTCCAAGGGGAAAAAGAAGCAGGCAAAACTTTAACACCCGTAAGCGCAGTATATGATGTAAGTGTTTCCTATGCGTTTGCTATAATCATATGCTTACTTAATCACAGAGGGTTTGTGCTGCCCTGGGTGTATCGTTGTGGACTGTAAAAAGAATTAGTACAAGAGGTGTTAAAAAAGATGACGATTACAAATCGCAAAAAAGTGTGGCTATTAGTTTATCTCACGGACCTCCGCTGCATGAAATACATGAACATGTAATAAGGACACGGATTTATGCAATGTATGCGACAGGTAAATAACATTCTTTTTGTTCTAAGGGAAGATTTGCTTCAAATGAAGACGTTCGCGAGAACACTTATGGATTTGATTTTATAGGTTCTTTACACAGTAATCTTCAACGACTTGATGGCGTAGAAATATCTGCTACCTCTTTATCCCGCAGTTTGAAGAAACTGAAATTCACGTGGCGGAGATGCACCGTTTCTAATAGATTATTTTTAATGGAACAGCTCTATGTAGCTCAAAGAAGACTACAATTTTTGAGAGACTTTAAACACAACGAAACTTCACTCTTTCCATTACGACCTGTGGTTTTAGATGAAATCTGGATATACAGTAAAGGGTCTTTTAGAAGAAGCTGGCAAGATGGTACTCTCAAAACAGTTAGAAAAAAAAGTGGTGAAGGGGTCAGGTATATAATACTCCATGCAGGATCAGAAGATGGATTTGTACCAAACGCAAGTCTAATTTTTAAATCTGGTAGCAAGTCCGGAGACTATCATGACTCCATGAATTGCCTTAACTTTGAGAAGTGGTTTGAACAACAATTGATCCCGAACTTGGATGAACCTTCTCTTATAATTATGGACAACGCTTCTTACCATTCAGGATTGGTAGAAAAAAGTCCAAATCAATGCTGGACAAAAATGTCACTTATAAAGTGGCTAACATCACGAGACATTACATTAGCACCAACAATGATGCAAGATCAGATCTGGGAAGTAGTGAAAAATCATATACCACCAAAATTATTTAGGTAGGCATCGCTGATAATTAAATGTTTGGTTGCAGTTAGGTAGACCTTTGGATAGGAAGCTGATTGTTATGGTTTTTTTTCACTCCATGTTGATTTTTACAGATTGAACGAATTAGCATTACAACATGGTCATCGTGTTTTGGGACTTCCTCCATATCACTGCGAGTATAATCCAATCGAAATGGTATGGTCAGAATGCAAACGGCATTACGATGCAAGGATCGGTTCAATTCAGCCTGTCACACACAGTGCCGTTTTGTCTTTATGGAATGAGACACTGCACAAAGTAACCTCTTTATATGCTGTTTTGTGAAACAGTAGTACTTAATAACTTTATTGTTTAGGTTACACCGGAAAAATGGAAAAGATATTTTGATCATACAGAAGCATTATAAACCAGGCCTAGGAACGGGAACAACATATTGATACATTAGACATCTTACCGGTGATTGTCAACTTGGACGAATCTGATAGTGACGAAGATTATTATGATGATTATATTCATGAGGCAGAAGAGAATCAGCGTGTTTAAGAATATTATTTTGGGTCGTTTATACATATATACCTACTTGTGGTGTAGTGTCGTTTTTTTCTTTTGTACATACGATTTGAATATGAACATTTGAGAGTTTTTTCAGGAATAAATATCTTCACTACCTGTTTTCTCTCACAGTTGCGTTTTTTTTAATAAATCGGAACAGTAGATACCTATTCAAGATCCTTATGCGAATATCTCGAGTGTGTGGCAAAAGAACAGTAGTATGCGTTGTTATTTCAATGAGCCTGTACGTGGTATAATGCCTACGCTTTATCTCAAATTTGTAAGATATATAAATGCGAAAGGCTTACCGATAAACCATGGCCTATTCTACTTCTGCAAATGGTTAGTTAAGGGTCATTAAAATTCGCGCAACTTAACGCGTATTCTTCACGGGTAGCATGCTTAATTTCACATCAACATTAGTTAAACGAAATATTAATTTACGAACTGCCTAAACAAACTTTAAGTTACAAATGTTCCTATGCGTTTTCTGTAACCATCATACACTTCATCTCAAAGAGTTTCTGATGCTCTGGCAGTATCCATTTCGACTGTCGTCGGTGCAAAGAATCGGTTACATGAGGTGATTACAAACGGTGGAAAAAGTTTAATCTCGAGTTTAATTCATATCAACGGAGTTCCTCTACATAAAATACATGACCATTTAGCCATTATAAAACCTGGGGAAAAAGGAAAAAACCTATCAGGACCAGATGCCTTACAAGTGATTGTCAACTTGGACGATCTGATAATAATGAACGATAGTGACACCTTAATAAATAAGTTGAAACGTCAATGTGACAATATGTAAACCAACTACTAATTTACGACCTGCCTTAATTTTGATATGACGTCAGATAGTGTGACGAAAGGTTCAGCACCCTTGAAACGAAGTATATCTAGTATTCGCTTGTGCTGGACGTAAAAGTATTTAGTATTCAAATACCTTTGATTTGTGTAAAGTATTTACTATTTAGTATTGAAATACTTTTTGAAAGTATTCTGCCCAGCTCTGGCGAAGACCAAACCGTTTGGGATTGGCAATACAAAAGACACTAACCAGTAAAACAATTAGATATCGCCATTTTGAAGATAAATCGCCATTTATGGGTGTGAAAATTTACTCAGGGGATTATTTCAGAGTTAGAAAAAATGGACACATGGACTCTCTCAACGAACGATGAGAGATTACAAAATTTCAGTTATAGAGGAAATTTAGATTTTCGGTGGAAAAAAATTTGAATTTGAGTTGGATAATTTCTGAACGATAGTTTTAAACAACAAGGGCAGTTCGGGAAAATTAAAGTTGTGCTGTAAAATCTTCCGAAGAGTTATCAACCGGAGAAGGTGCGCTTTAATATACACTTAATATATTAATTAATTATGTGATAAAATGAAAAGGAAATTTAAAATTCTTTAAGTGTAGAATTGTAAACCTAGTCCTAACTATTTGAGTTATAGAATTATTAACTTTATACCGAGCAGCAGCATACATTCCGGTATGAGATTCAGCACTCGGGCAAATATTTGATTGGTCGATTTGAATTTGCTTTGGGCAATTAACGCAGAGTGCCGAAATCGGTACCAAAATGTCGGACAGAGGTGGAACGCTGGAACGTTGATAAAAAAACAACATTCCCATTTTTAACATTATAATGAAATGTACCGGGAAATTTTGTTATAAATAAATGTATACACATGGGCTATATACTTAAAAAACATTTGCTGTGGCTAGCACAGTTACCACCCGCACCACTGCACATTCCCGATTCTGACCATTTATGTCTAAGAATAGGGCACCACTGGCTGGCTGGCTTTTTAACTATTAAAAGGTCGACGAATCAATTACTCAAAAAATTACCACGTCGTGAAAAATTTTGGCAAATTCAAATGACAGGCACTCAACCCTACCGAAAATTCGTCTTTATTCACTTACACTAAATAGTTATTTATTAAATTTTAATTCAATTTTTTTACTACTACTATCCTAAAATTAGTCAACGAAATTCATAATGGATTCACGCAATTAAGATCAAAGAGCATTATGCGGGTCACTCTGTAATTGTGCGACAGCATATTGTGAGAAGGACAATAAATAAATTAAACAAATATAGCAAACGTGCTCATGGGTATGGTTTGGCGTGGCATTACGTATTATATGGCTAAAGCTCATTTTGAATTTCATGCAATTCGATTCATAACTAATAACGGAGATGTCAAAAGGGCCTTTCTTGTTTTTTGGCCTCTATTACCAATTCACGAATTCCGATCTACAAATTTGATAAAGAATCCACCTGCAAAATTTCATCGTAGACGGTTCATTCGTTTTTGAGATATCGTGCTAAAGGACGGACAGACTGAAAAATTATAAACTCGCTAGGAGCTCGTTAATAAATCAGAGCTATTTGGAGGCTATATGGTAGGTTCGATAAAATCAACTTATTCTTGCGAATACGTTATCGGACTTCTGTATGGGAGGGTGTTCCATCTTGTTGGAAGCTAAAGTCGTAGCTAGTATTTTAAATATCAGTCATTTCAACGGAATTTCAGATTGCGTTCGAGCATCAGAGTTTTCTTGTTGAAGGAATCAATGAAATCACTACTTTAGATCAAGATTTTTGTTTCGATTCACTTTTCCAGACCATTTTTCCTGCCTCTTGTCACTTTACCAGACTCCTGTCAAAAATTGCACATGCTACATTTTATTTTATGTGTTTATCGGAATACGGATGTACGTTTCTCTCGAAGTAACCATTGTATAGTGTTATATTATAGTAAAACTAACGCACTCACTTTTAAATCCGAATATGTTTTAATTTCTAATAAGTATAAGTATAAGTAATAACTTGTCAGAACGCGCCCTGAAATCAATGCAACAACTCTCTTTTTAACATTTTTTTCTTAAAAAGTTATAAATAGATTCAAAACGTGACAGAACCATATCATCAGTGACAAAGCCATAGTGGTAAAGTACGAAATACGCGCAATAATTTTCGAAGTTACAGATACGCCGATACAGATTAAAATTTGATGGATTTGTAAGACGGAAATATCTCAATAGTACGAAACATAACATTTTAATAATAGTTATATCTTAAGATACAAGTTAATTGAGCTGTCAAATTCGTAAGCAAGGAGTTTCTAAATTATTCATAGTTCAAAAGGGATTGCCGAGACTTTTGAAGCAAAAGGTAATCGGAGATATACTTGAAATGAAACGATTTGGTAATTGATTAATAAACCTGATCACGAAACGCGGATATGTACCAATTTTTTTAAGTAATTGAATACTATTATTTCGGCGGCGGATGGAAGCATTTCTAAAACGTTTAATATCTTCCAGTTTGTACTAAAAATCAGGAGTTTCTGGGTAAGACAAAAGTCGAATGCGCTCTCACGAATTTTGAAGAAGACCTATAAAAAATGCATGGCATGAGGAGGTTTTTAATCAAATCATTACCACAGAAACAAAGCGAAGTAATGCGAGCGTGCACGGTGCAGCAAAGTGTTGGAATCGAATTCTGGTATTCACACTCCAACCAACTACAATCTTCATGTAAATACACAGTGAATTGTAATTGTAAAGTATGTACGGTATTAAATAAACAGTTAATGCCCAATATGAAATGTGTGGGAACGCAAAATACTCAATTACACCGTGTGTAAACTCATCATGCATCAATTGACTATTATTTACGAAGGTATACGCGCTCATGAAGGTACTGGAAAACTATAATTAATTTTAGTACCCCGCGCGTAGGGGGCGCACGAATCGCATTTCACAAATCTAACGGGGTAAAACACGATTAATCACAATAATTAACTTTAATGCGGCACAATTAAATTGATTTGGTCTGTTGATAATTAAATAATTAATTGACCAACATAGTGACATGGCAATTAAATAGTACAATACTCTAAACAGAAGTGCGCAATATAAATTCATTAATTCCTCGAGTGATCGTTAAAAGAAAAAAAACTTTTAAAATATCGCAGCAGGTATTACTCTAAAGGTTATTTTTAATGAATAGATCGGCACAGATAATAATGAATTAAATTAGAATTCAATTGCTTAACGCCGCCCGTAAAGGAGGCAAATCGGAAACGAGTGAAATGTATCAGGAAATGTGCCAGATCGATTATATTGTTAATTGTAAAATTACTTGTATTTACTTTGAGTTATTTCTTGAAGTGGTAACCTTCGGCGATCCCTCCTTTTCGTACTACCGTGCCTTTTACTGTAGTAGGTTGAGGTCGTCCTTACGGGACCTGTTGACGAAAGGAACGAGGTTAAAAAAGTACCTACCCTGTAGAATCGCGTTCCCTTGATCATTGGCAAGAACTGATAGCGTAGGTATAATACTTTCAGTACGTGTGTTGTGTATATACAGTATGAACTATCTAACCAACAATCGGAAGTGCGTTCCTCCACTAATTTTTTCGCAGTAACCATAACTTATAGAAAGCAGGACATTAGGCCCTCCCCGACTTTACTGTTTTTACGATTTTTTTTAAGGTGACGCACAACTGTGCTACAATTTTATTTTTAAAAGTGCACCCACTCTTGAAATGTTCTAATAAACCCATGGTCCTTACCTGGGAACTATGATCCCTAATCGCCCTAAAAACTCTTAGAGATATTTTAATGCACCCTGCAACAGGTGGTCGCTTTAGGCTTAAAAAAAGGGCAGTATAGGAAATTTTAAACGTGTACCGCTTCATAGTGAAAG